TCGTTTGCTTTTTTAAAGTAAATTCTTATGATTATTTTTTATTATGATTTCTATTTCACTTTCTCTCCGAGTTCGAAAAAAAAAAAAAAAAAAAAAAATCTTTCTGCCAATTAATCGAACGTACCCGAACGTTATTTATATTCTTTAATTTTGAATAGACGATGTTACGATGACGTAATTTGTAGGAGTGAATGATACTGTAAATAATTCATAATTTTTCATTCACTTCTTTTTTAATTTTTTGTATTATAATTTTTGTTTAAAAAGTATTTTAGATAGGTATAATTAAATAAATTAATCATACCGAGATTAATCAAATTTTAGAATTTCGTGGTCACGCCACTGAGTTATGTGCTCACTTTTGCTAAAAGAAAAATGATTTTTTACGTGAGAATGAAATCCTGTTTGCACGTCGTATAAAATGTATAAAATAAAAAAAATAAAAAAGTTTATTTTTTTCTTTGCATTTTGTAAGCGGGTAAGTTAGTTTAATTTTTCGCTCGGCTTGTTCTCTGAATAAGTTTACTGCGGAAATATCAGAGCAGAACGGTTTCCATATATATTTTATAACTTTAGCGATCGTTGTCATTTTTTCAATTCTGTTTAAAATTGATCGGTCGCATTTTTCGGTCGATTCGTGTTGTACAAAATTTATCCAATAAAATTTCTTTATTTTAAATCGCGTATTGAAATTTAGGTCGAACTTTCTTTTATATGTCGCAACGCAAAGAATTACAGCAAGCAAGGTATAGTTATAACCCATTAAAATATTATTTGGATAAGTTGTCATTTCAAAGCTGGACTTTTTGACTTTGTAGAAGAAAAGCAGGTATAAAATTTGATGCTAAAGGTCTTTGTGTTAAAGTTACTAATTCCAAAGGTCTTGGTGTTAAATTTCTTTGCACTAAAGGTGCTGGTTTTAAAGGTCTTTGTTCTAGTGCTAAGGTCTTTGCGCTAAAGGTTTATACACCTTTGAAGTTTGTTTAACTGTTTTTAAGGCTTCGAACGTTTTGAATTTGCTGAGAAGACATGTTTAAAAAATGCGTAAAAAAAAAATGATATTTTCGAAATATATGAAAAAACGATTCCTCAAAATTATTTTATTTTTTTTGATAGTTATTTATTGTTCGCGTTTGATCTAAAATCTAAAAAGGTCAGAAATCAGTCGGGACTATTGATCAACAATTAAATGAGGATGTGTTCAGTCACGTGACTCTACAAATTTTTAACACCGTTTTTTTGGACTTGAGATATATTATTAAATGATTAATTTTGTATTACTTAAATAATTATAATAAAAATAATGTAAAATCTTATAATATAAAATTATATATATATTTATAAAAATAAAAATAAAAATAATAAAATAAATATAATAATC